TCCTGTTTATGATGGAAGAAGAGCGAGGACGGTACATCGAGAACATTTGAAGATAACAGTGTTCTGCAGGAGATCGGCAGACATAAAAACACTCACACCAAGTACATGTAAACACAATTAGCAGGAATTGCATTACATACATGAACAGAAATAAACACAACTACATGTTCTGATGAAGAGGACGATGTGAGTGGTTGTCTCATTTGTGGTGTCCTTATCTATTAAGGATTTTTAGGAGAATTATCTGTCTGCAATAAATAGTCTCTATTTGAAATGATGCTTCCCATTATACTGTAAAAAATAAAATAAAAAATTAGCATAGTCTACAAAAATACTATTTTCTACATTCAATAGGTGTTTCACACTAGAAATAGTTAACCCATGCCTAAAAAATAAAATAAAATCACATTTTAAACAGCTCTTTTTACCCAGGGTTAGCCTAACAATTAATCGTATTGGCGTTATCCTGGGTTAATGCTGCCTTCACATGCTATAGCCTACTATCGTAAATAGAGTTTTTAGTTACAAATTGGTCTTGAACGCCCACTAAAGCCCTGTTTACCAATGGAAAATTCGTGGACAATTTTAACACCCCCGCTATTGTCTTGTGGCCACTTGAAGTGTTTTTAACGTTGGCTACACAGCGAAAATCGTCAGCTCTCTTTCAGTGGAATGGGAGGCTAAATGTTGTTTTGATTTTATAAGATTTAGGCAAGATATATTGCAAGAATACACTATTCCTCTTCTTTCCGAAAACAAAACAATTGAAAGCGATAAGCTCGTAATCACGATTCACTACTGAGTAGGAAACGTCAGATACTAGTACGTGATAGCACGTTAGTCTTTATTTGCATAGTGTCACTGATTGGACTAGCGCGGCGCGCGATACGTATGTCCTCGTAATATGGTAATACGAGAGCCGTTGAAAAACATATTTAACGGCTCTGAATAATACGCAACCGCCATTTAAAACAGAAAGAGGAAGTCCTCATCACTACGTTTATAAATTGACTTTTTACGACTATAAAGGTAAGAACGAAACGATTTTGTCTTTTGTGTACATGTTTCCATCAGCGTTTAACATTTTTCTCATTAAATATTCAAACGACGTTGCGAATAATGCGTAAATAAAGCATGTGAACGGCACGCGATTGGTTGTCCGTTGCTCGTTTTCACTGAACCGTTTTTGAAGCACAAAATTAGCCCGAAGTCTAGACACAAGTTTTTTAAAAGTTGAACTATATTTTAACTCGTTTTAGAGCAACACAAACGGAGAAACACGTCCTTCTAGCGCAAAAGTAGGCAACATTAATGGCATTTTCAGACCATTTTACTTCCGTGATGTGACATGTTTCCAAGTTGTGCAGGACTGGATTTCATTCATCAAGAGATGATGAAAGGATCTGGTGGGATTTCTTAATAATAGCTGTCTAAACAAAAAATGCCATTTTAATAAAAACATTACTTTGATGAACGATTCCTTGGGGGTGAAGTCCCTCCCCGCCCCCCATGAAGTTGTAACATGTTAAAACAAACAGTCCAAGACAAAATGGTGGATGAAAACAAAAACATCTTTATTTCTTTTCATTTGTCCAGCGATTTTTATTTGTTTTAAGCAAACCGTTTTTTCTTCCTCTGAGTTTGTTTTAATTATCTTTTAATTAGTTTGGCTAATATTTTATTACTTCACATAAACAATTTTGTAATTCACTTCTATCGAACATAATTTTTAATGCTCCTTGTTATTTTACTATCTTTACTATTAAAGGTTTAGGGTTGTTTAGTACTTCAACCTAAAATTTGGCATAATTAAGAATTCAATGTTTTTGAAAGAGTTTCTTCTGCATTTATTCCATCAATATATTTTAAAATGTAATTTATTCCTGTGATCAAATCATATTGTTTCAAATAAACGCTGTTATTTGAACTCGAACTTCCTATTCATCAAAGAATCCTGAAGAATAAAATATGACAGTTTCCACAAAAATAAATTAAACCAACTCCATTTTGGCAACTACAATAGCTTAAATTATATATATATATATATTTCTTTTTTTCTTATTGTTTTAGATTTAATGATAAAAAAGAACTGTAGTCCTTTCTGCTTTAAAAATCCATGTTTAATTCGACGTGTCACTTGCTGATTTTCTGTAATATGTGGAGTGGTGGTTGTTTCTTCACATTATTTTTCAGTATAATAATAAACCTCTAGCACATCTCGTTCCTTCATATCCCAGTGAAAGCTCTTCTCTTCTGGTTCTCCTGACTCACACACACTGTGTGTTTGTTTTTCCAGAACGCTGGAGTCGTACAGATCTCCTCCTGTGTCGCCAGACTCCCCTTCGCTCATCGTGTTTTAAGAGAGAGCGGATCTAAAACCACTTAGCTGACGAGCAAAAGCAGAAAGCTCCTAATACGCCTTCTTTGTTCTGTATTTAAACGCTTTATTTCAAACAAACCACGTGTGCAAAGGTAACTCTTATATTACACAAAGAACACATCACATGCCGAACAATACAACACCTATTACAAAAGAAGAAAGAAAACCGACAATAAAAGAACAGCATGCACAGATAGTTTTCATAATGTTAAATGTTGCTTTTTTTTGATTTTGACATCATCTATGCACATCTTAATCTCCTCAAACACTGTAAAATTCGGTTTGCCATTTGTGAGTTTACATTTGTGAATATGAAATTTACATGAAAATAATGAAACCGGCATCCTTTGTCCTTGATGCAATGACATATTTATCGGATAAAAGAAAAGTATTTAAAATATCATCAGCAATGAGTTTCTCATGAGGAATGGGTTCAGTCGGACTCTTCGCCTCGCTTCCCACCGATCGGACTTGACCTTTGACCCGGGAAATACTCCAGCCCTCCCCCTCAATTCTGATCCGCCTCGCAGACACAAAGCTGACAGGATGGCCTAGATACACACACACACACACACACACACACACACACACACCGAGGGGAAAATAGTAGATGCTCACTCATCCATGCACACTAATGCAATTATGCTGAATCATACACACACTTTCATATGTGTGCATTTATAATAAACAAATGTTTGTTGATCATCAGATCCTCATATTAGAGTGATTTCTGAAGGGTCATGTGACACTGAAGACTGGAGTAATGATGCTGGAAATATCACAGGAATAAATTACACTTTACTGTAGAAAACTGATGATTTAAACTGGAATATTTAAAACAAAATGTACTATTTTTGTCTACAAACACAAGCATGCACATGTAACGTATAGACATTTCAACATCAGACACCGTTCCTGGTCAGAGGCCCACACACACACACACACACACCCTAAACACCGGATGTGGCCCCAGCCGGAGCAACAATGTTCAATCCACGTCCCGGAGAAAAGGACAAAAGAAACGCTGAGGAGAACGAGGAGAGGAACATAAAGAGCAGCTCAGCTTCAGGTTTCAGTGTGTGCTAATGTGACTATTGTTTCACACACACACACCCACACACACACGTCTTTCTCTGTCATCTATACAGTGAACGCACACATTCTCTCTCACACGTGCACATCTTAGTGTGTGTTTGTTCACTGTAAAGATGTAAAGAGAAAGATGTGTGTGTGAGTCTCTCTCTCTCACACACACACACACACACATCTCTCTGTACATCTAAATACAGTGAACAGAACATATTCGGCTGAGAGAAGATTCACGGCTGCAGAGTCAGAGTTCAGGGTTCACGTGATAGACTGTGTTACACACACACACACACAGAGACAGGGTTCACGTGATCGCCTGTTTCACACACGAGACTGAACCGACTCGATGTCCTCATGTATAGACTGGGTTCTGCCTGGACGTTGGAACATAATTAGACCCTAATCCTATAGGATCCTGATGGGAATTTCCCAAGGAATCGCATATGATCCCACTGGATTAGCAGGAAATTCCTTTAGTCCTTTTTGCGTTCGAACATTGTCTTCCAGCTAAATATAATCACAGAGGAGCTGTATGAGTTTCACAAATATGAACTTTAATATCACAGTAATATTAGGCTGTACTTTGATGTATAGTACAATGCGTGACTATATACTACACACACACACATTATATATATATGAAGAGTTCAGATGCAAAAGCCTCTAAGTGCCATTTGAAATTTTCTTCTAGAATGATCATTTTTATCAAGCTTGTATATTTAAGTTCAGTGATTTCACTTAAATGACAATGATAATTACCTATTAATTGTTATTTAAGTGAAATCACTGAACTTAAATATACAAGTTTGATAAAAATCATCATTAAAGAAGAAAATTTCAAATGGCATTTAGAGGCTTTTGCATCTGAACTCTTCATATATACACTTTATGATGTGTATAAATACATGCATATACATATGTGTGTGTATACGTATATATGTGTAATAAATGTGTAAATAACATCATATAATAATATACATAACATAGTCATGTTGATTGAAAAGGTAATCCGTAACAAATTATGCCATAAATGTCAATAAAATACACATTTTTACATCATGCCCTTATTATACTGCTTAAATAGCTAGAATCACGCTGTTGTTGTTGTTGAATGTTCAACAATATCAGTTTATATGCCAATCTAACGATAATTTACATAATAATAAATAATCATATCAAGTCATATTTACTCGAATATGCCGTCGCGTTCTCTGTGTCCTAACTCCACAGGTCTGCATTTTTAGCATGAATGACCTAGTTTTGATATTTTTAACTTTTTAAACACAGAAACACTGTGAGGACACAGATTGTTTACCTCTTAGCGGCTGAGCCGTGACGTCAGGACACACCCCTAAAGGGCAGGGGGCGTTGCTCGTCTCGGCAGTCAGTGGCGCGCCATTCGGCCAATCAGAATCCAGCTGTCAGGCGTTCCGCCCAATCAGCGGAGAGGGTATGTCAACGGACGCCTGTGATTGGCGCTCAGGGTCTATAGATATGCAGGCGGAGGGCGGGGCTCTGTAAAGCTGTTGACCGTTCACTGCTCGTTTATCTGGAGAAAGAAAAGCGATCGGTGGGACTAAACGCGAGTTTTCACCGCGGCCTGCTATTGGATTCAGTGGATGATTACAGAAACGAGTCTGATTAATTCTGGTAAAATATACTTTAATGAAATCATGCTGTTTGTACTTGAGAAAACTGTTGGATCGCTATTAGCGGTCAGTTATAACGCGAATATGTGGCCATGCAGTGCGTGTATGCGCGCGCACGCGCGTCAGTGTATGTTTGTGTGTCTGTCTGTGTGTGTGTGTGTTTGTATGTGCGACACACAAAACAGCATGATCACAGATACATCATATTTTGGGGAAAAAACACGATAATATATCACACTTTCATATGTGTGTGTGTGTGTTTTAATAGGTAAATCTAAACGTGAAGCTGGCGCGTGTGAACCCCGAGTAAACGGTGATGCCCCATCAGGTAACATTAGAGACTCACTATTCACTGTTTCTCAGCAGCTTTTATTGTGTGTGTTTGTTTATTTCTCTTTGATTATTTAAGAGTTTCTCCGAGCTGACAGCAGTGTTTTCTCTGAGCTGCGTTGTGAATGTTGACCTCGTATAATATAAAAAATGGAGAAGGGAAAGTTTTAACGAATTAACAACTTGTGTTTTTTAGTATTTCTCTTTATTTAACACGTCTGTATTTATTTCAAGATCAAGACACTGAGTATAAAATGAACCGTTGTTTATGCAGAATGGATGTGAGTTACATTCCTTCTGGACAGTTTTTTGTTGTGGTTTCTTGAAGCTTTGTGAAATTGTAGATGTGTGCGTTTTAAAAAATCTCATTGATATATAATATCGATAATTAAGTTTCCTCCTCCTTCATAAAGAAGAGTAATTTAGGGCTTTCAGGGTGAATCCGTCTATTATTAGAGTGCATTGCGAGCACTTTATTAGTTGGTTTTGGTCTCTTGTCCCCTTGTGAGACGGGATCAGACACCGGCCTCGGGCTCACACACACACACACACACACACACACACACACACACACACACTGAGAAACATGAGCAGGACTTCAAACGTTTGGAGTGTTTTCCGCCAAGCCGAGCATTTCTTTTGTATTTGTGGTAGTTTAGTGTCATATTGCATCTGCTGTATATGAGTTGTGTGTTGCATTGGGAACTGTTGCTCGGTTGAGCATATCTGTGGTCTACACAAGTGCATAGTGAGTGTGTGTAGTGTGTGTTAAACGCATCTCCGGATTGAAAGAGTCCGTGTGGGATGAGTGTGTGTGACGCAGTTTTTTTTCTTCCTCCAGATGATATGAGATAAACTTTGTCCTATTTGGCTCGTGTTGTGTTTGTTTTGTATCGTAGCTCAGCCTTTGCTCTTTATAAATCTTTATAGTCTTAAACCACTGCATGGCAAGAACAGCCGTGAGCTTTAAACGGTACATGTGTCATCTGTGGTTTGGTGCTGTGAACCTGCACCCTACAAACGCACACTCGCACACCCACCCTCGTGCACGAGACTTTTCCAGTTTAGGGTGGTTATTGTGCATGAGACGGGTCTGCGGGGTTAGACATGTTGCATTAGTTCAAAATAAATTGATTGAAATTCACAAATTAGTGTAAAGAGTGAAACAAAACTAAACAGTTTAGAAATAAATAAAATAAGATTTGCAAAATCTGTGTCACCGCACTTATTTTGTTTATGAATCGGATTCGGAACAATACAATGAGACTTTATCATTCAAAGTAAAAGTACAAAGTAACTACGGAAAAATAAAATAAAACGGTGCCAGAGGACAATATCAAAATTAAAAAGGTTTCTGCTTCAAGCACAAATCCATGAATGGTTTGACTCCGCCCACCGTCCAATCAGATAGCAGCTATTTTGCGCTGACCAATCATAGCACGCTTTTGCTCCGATCGCGATTTGCTTTACACTCATTTGTCTGCATTCAGCGCTTAAATTGTAAAAAGATGTTTCATTTAGACTGTATATTTATATCTAGATATTTGTATGTTTTAATTAAACGCATCATTGTGAAATCTGTCGATACTGTAAGCAGATTTAATATATATTTATATTTAGTCTGATTACAATTATTTACAGTTTTCTATGGAAGGTCACATTGTTGTATTTTTCTTTTTATTCCACAAATAAGCATTAAATTATAATATTGATCGCCACATCATTTATTGGCCTTAATGAAATAAAATGGATTTTATTTAAAATTAATACTTGAAAAAAAAACACTTATGAAAGAGCTTAGTCTTAATTAAATTGTTTTAATAAATGGACACACTTACAATATGGTTCCATTAGTAAGAACAACGAAAAATATTTCTAAAGCATTTATTAATCTTAATTTCAACCTTAGTTGTATCTGTGAATATTCAAATGAACTAAAAGTTAACGAAGATTAATGTGCTCATTCTTCGTTAATGCACTAACTAATCTGACCTGATTTTTACATCATAACTTGCCAATTCTGATGACCTCAGGGCTGTAATTATGATGTTAGAGTTGTTAAATAGGATTGCTTTCATTTGTGATTCTTAAGCGTTACGGCAAGTGTAGATGCATATTAATAATGACCAATTAAAAAACAACAACTAATAAATAAATAAAAATCTTCATGTGCAAAAGCGTCCTGACTCGAGGGCATAACTTCTCCTGAAATAACATGATCATATCCTAGTTATGAAAGTTTCTGGTGATCCTCATGTGTCAGTCAAACATAAAAAATGTGGTCAATGAAATGAATGCACTTTTTTAGTTTGTTTTTTATTTAATATTTTGCCTTTTTAAGGGGATTTCTTTTATACTAAATCTATATTTACGCTGTGTTTATAATCCATTTGTTCACTTTTATACATAGCATAGATCTGAAAATGACATTTCCATCTTAATCTCTGTGGTAAATCTCGAACGCTTTCGAGCGACAGACTGAAGTTCTCTTCTCAGAGACGACACTTGGCAGATTATTGCTGAAGTGACGAGTTTTAAAAAGTGTTTTACATGTATTGTTATGAAAAATGCACAAAAATGCACATATGAAATGTGATGCATGCTTGTGTGTGGGATGCGTGTGTTGTGCATGCATTTATTTTGATGCACACGTGTGTGTGGTGTGTGTTGCATGCATACTTGTGTGTTGGTGTGTGTGTGATGCATGCATACAGTACGTGTATGTGTGTCTGTGTTGCATGCATATGTGTGTGTGTCTGTGTGTGTTTTGCATGCATACGTGTGTGTCTGTGTTGCATGCATATGTGTGTGTGACCGGTGTCTGTGTTGCATGCATATGTGTGTGTGTGTGTGTGTTGCATGCATACGTGTGTGTGTCTGTGTGTTTTGCATGCATACGTGTGTGTGTGTGTTGCTGCATGTGCTCAGGACCACCCAGACACCACGAGGCCTCCATGTGACACTGCTCAGCGAGACTAAAGCGTTTAGCGCGAGTTTAGCATTCCCGCACTGATTAGCCTGTGATTGCGAGAGTTCGGAGTTCCTCCAGCGGGTCCTGGACGATCTGTGTGTCGACAGGAGTGTAATGACTCCCACATGAGCCCGTCTGCGCTACGCTGGACCTTCAGGAAGTAAACTTTAATAGTTTGAGTGATTAGTCGTTTCCAGGGGCGACGCAACACAAAGCGGAGCGTCATTAGACTGCCTGTGAATGCTATCGAATGTTTATAAGTCTCATTAGGCGCACGTTTACGACATTAATGGAATTGCTGTTTGTGTAGTGGGCTTTTATTTGGTTAATTGCTCATGGTTAATGTTAAACCTCTAACGAAAGGTATTAAATCTCAGTGTCGGCAGCGTTTGGGCTCCAGTGCGCTCAAACACACGTTAAATGCACCACGAGTAGACTAAAAATGTTGAGATTCGCATGTGCCGTGGAGCTTCACGAATCAATTCACAAACTTTCGATCCTGATATTGATTGTTATTGTGACTATGAACACTGATCTGGAGTCATGCTTGTGTTCAGTCTAAAGCTTCTTTACACCGTGAGATCGCCATCTACTGGCCTGACTGCAGAATACAGCGCTTTTTAATCGTTTTAACAACGCTGTCGTCTAAACACGAAAAACACGGCAGAATTGATTTCCCGTTTTTTTTGTGCATCCTAAACAATGCGAAAACTACAAAACGAGCTCTATCGTTACATATTTGATCATTTACCGCTGCACAACAAATTCGTTTTTTAAACTCTTGCCTTTTAGCTACGAAAGTTTAAAGTGCAGCGGTTAAACACTGATAAAAAGACTAAACTACTGGAACCAGTTTTTTTTTTTAATCGTGAAGTTTATTTGTGTCTCTATGTTTTTGTTTATTAGAGGTTGAATTCATATCAAAATATGCCAAACTTCCCTTACTACTTCATAAATGGTTGTGACCTAGTGAAAAAGTTTGGTACTGCGCCCACACACACTCACTGAAAGCTCATTTCAGATATCAACCTATCGAGTTTTCGTGTTGATTTTCTTGTAGTTTTAAAGTCCACCAGGTTTTGAAAATATATATTTTATACAAAATATGAGTAATTAAATTTTTACGTTTGACATTTTCATAAACTCAAACTTGTATAACTTGTTTTCTTTTCCACTTTCTTGATTTATTTCACGTCTGCAAAAATCTGCCAAATGTCTTCTTTAAAACAAGACCGCAATCTTACATCTATATTCCAAAGCATATTTAAATTACGACCATTTGAGTTCGAATGGTGCATTTACATGTTTATTCAAAAAAAGTGGGCGTGGAACTTAAAGGGTTAACAAGAAATTCAGCAGCGAAAGTCTGAACTGTCGTTGTTAAACGCAAAATGAGTATTTTGCCTTTGACATGCTATGAACTAGTTTGTTTGCTGCATGTGTGTGGATGCGTTTAGTGCTCAAAAAAGACGTCAAGCTCTTGATTCGATTCTGATTTAATATCGATTGTTATTGTAAAATCAACTAAACTGTATTTCCACATGTGAAGCTCGCGGTAAATTGTTAAAGTAAATTATGAATGAATTAGCCGTTCTGTGATCGTAGGTACGTTGACACGTTCATGCCGCTACACATGATGCTGAACGAAACAAACCATTATTGGTCGCTTTACATGTCAATCAGAAGGGGGAGGGGCTACATGTTCGAGAGCTGTCAATCAGCCGTAGACACGCCCCCTTCCTCAGCAGGCACTCAAAATGAGGCCACAGCAATAATTCGTGAGAGGATGGATGTTTTGCAGAGTGTTCACGATTAACTGACGGGGAAAGTTTATTCTGTCTGAAATTTGTATTTTTGAGAGTATTTTGTAATCGTCCAGGAATGTCCAGACTGATTGATTGATTTATTGAATAATTGAATTTCCCGAAGCATCCCGTAGCTCACCCAGCTCATAACCCTTACACACAGTAAAATTCACACAAACACCAATTCTAATAATGAATAAATCTGCTACAACAACCCAGTTA